TATGGGAAATAGCAAAACAATATTATGACAACCATATTGGGCCTAATGGTTATAGTGACGACGCAGTTCGGGAAACTTGGCGAAAAGCACTTTCAATTGCAACTCCAGAAGTATGGCAGAACTGTATATCCAAGTGCGAGAAACTAATAGAAGATTGGTGGACTCGTGAAAAAAAAAATAAACGAAATAAGTCCAATCATAATAACAATTAATGGTGATGACAGTGACGATGATGACGAATATGATATTTTGGATGATAATGACTAATTTTCATTTTTGTTGGCAATTTCAATTTTTTTATTTTTCATTTGAAATTCTCTACGTGGAATAAATTGTTATGTTAGAAAATATTTTATTTGAGCTAAATAACCCTCTTATTATACATAGACCATATTTTCTGTGTGAAGTGTAATATAAAATTATTATTAGGTTTATAATAGCCACATTAGACTCCATTAATGAAGAAGTTTAATTCTGCTCTCAATTATACAAAAGCTTCTCCATTATTATTTAATTAAAAAGTTGTACATTATTTTTCATTTCATTTAACCAGTTGATATTTCCCCAAAGAACAGGTCAAACTTTCGGGTACTTACCTGGAAATACTTTTAATCCGAAACCCGCGTAAGTATAGCGAACAGACATAAATAACTCACCTTATTGCTATAAACCTCCGACTCTTTGGCCTAGACCAGGGGTCGGCAAACCGCGGCTTACGAGCTGCATGCGGCTCTTTGGTCCCTTGAGTGTGGCTCTTTCCCAAACTACAACCTGCGGGCTCGCACATACAATACAATTGAAACTTCTTGATGGCTGCTTTTCTTATTTATATTTTTTTATTCTTGGTGTTTATGTATCTTTATCTTTAGGAGAGTGGGTACTCTGGAGTAAAGCTGGTTACCGTGACCGGTTAACCGGTTCCGTAGGACCATTAAACCGTTAAAGAACGTAAACGGTTTAACCGTAACCGGTTTAACCGCAACCGGTGTAACTCTAATCGAACCGGTTAAACCTGTCACTGAGACGTAACTGGTTTAACCGTACCCGAAACCGGTTTTAGCGAGATCGTAAACGTAAACGAACAAATATAGTTTGAGCTCTTAGTAGGGATGCGCATATTTTTTAAAACGTCGATACTGACATCGAATGATATACCAAAAACAAAGTATCGATGGCATTAAAATGACCGAAGTGAAAAAAACGATATTTATAAACATCGATGTTTTTAAAACTTATACATTTAAAAGTAAGTAAAACAAAATGTATTTATTTTATAAAAAAATGCAAACAAATATAAACATTCCAAATGTAATAATAAAACAAAGCAAAACTAAGAAAATTATTATTTTTTTAATAAATTCACATTACATTTATCCATAATATGCAGGTTACAGTTAATTCAGTTGACCGGATAATCTGACCGGTTAACCGGATAATATGACCGGTTAACCGGATAATCGAATCGGTTAACTGGATATCCGGACCGGTTAACCAGATATATGGACCGGTTAACCGGATAATCGGACCGGTTAATCGGATATCCGGTTGGTTATAATAATAGTAAAAATCCGGTTGAAACCGAAACCGGTCAAAGTCAGTCGAACCGGTTAAACGTTTATCACGACCGGAATTGACAGCCTTATGTACTCTGGAGCGACTTAAAAAAAACTTTTCCAAAAAGATAAAGTATTAGCGTGTATCGTACAATATATTACTCCTGAGCGCGTATCCCCGCAGGAAAGACTAGTCTTGTAGTAAAAATCTGCACCCTTGTAGTTATCACTTTCATCTGCCTGTGTCCGATGCGTTTTGCCTTCCCTCCAAGGTTCCATTTTAAATTACTTTCCAAGCCTGTTGAGATTGAGATATTGATATTTTCTATTTCAAAACAACACTTTCAAATATGATACAATTTAATTTTATCAATAAATAATATTGTTATTAAGGCGTTTTTGGGGTCATAACCCCCCCATGAAAGGTCTTCACGTCACCATTTTCGCTATAGTATTGGCTCTGGTCACTATTGACTGTTTGTTTTTATTCACTTTCTTGATGAAACCCCCCCATAGTTCTCAAAAACCCCTACCATGAAAAATGGCTGGCTACGCCACTGGAGAGAATGATACCCCACAATAGTTCATCCATTACTATCGGAACTTTCCATGAGCTCACACGCTCGCAGGTCACAGGAAAGGTGGTAGTCGTTGTACACAAAATATAGACATGGATGTTTACTCACAGTACCTATAGCCTATGGCTCGTATAATTTTTTCCTAATCTGTATAAAGAGGATAAACTATAAGAGACGAAACAAGTTTACCAGACGAGTATGGATGAGAGAGTTGGAAAGGGTCGACCTCAGCAAACGTACTTCAATTCGATTGAAAATGTTTTTAGCAAAGGCCAGTTAAGCAGTAGCCTAATTAAGTATAACAACAATGTGTACCTACTTATATAGGTAGTTCAAGTTTAAAAAAATTGGCTCTCAAAAGGAATTTCAGGCGTTCTACCGTTGCTATTTGGCTCTGTTGACTAATGAGTTTGCCGACCACTAGCCTAGACGTTCGCTTTTGAGGTCTCATCTCACTTTTGTATTATAGTACGATCAAATTTTATGTTAGAAGCGACTGAATTATTAAGGTTAACACAATTTTAATTACTAAACCGCACAAATGAAATTAGGAAAATAACATCCCATACAGCACAAAAACATTTCGGAAATATTTCAACAATGTTACATTGGAACATTTGCAATGTTATATGAATATTACGAAACATCCCAGAAACATTTCTGAAAATTTCCTGTAAATATCATATTTCACAGTAATATTTCTGAAATGAAAATTTGAAATCTTTTAGATATATTAAATAGTGAAAGACATTTAAAAATATACATGTTTATTTAAAATACACAAATCTCAAACATTGATTCTTAGACAAACAAATAAATAAATAAATATGTTTTAAAGAATATTTTATAAAATATAGAAGCGAATTGCTTCATTTCCACCAATTTCTTTAAATGCACTAATTTGAAACAACTAGGTTTTTTTTTAATAAATGCTCCAAGAAAAAAAAAATTACGATTATTATAATCTAGTCATTAAGATCAATTAGCAATTTTATTTTTACCTAACTTATCTAGGGATATAAAACTTCATAAACTAAGATTCTACTCACTATATAGTGTACTTTAGAGTCTAATTATTTAGTTACACTACACACTACCGTTAACGTATAACACTTAACCGCACTATACTGTTTTAATCTAACATCACTGAACTAACTCAAAAGGCCTGGTTCTCTTGAGTCTTCTTATTAGATTGGCATTGTTGAGGAGTTGAACAATCTCAAGGTTTCCATGTTGGAGCAGTCGTTGTTGGTGACTACTGGCAAATTTAAGGTCCCTATGTAGATCACTATTACGGCAGTACCAGGATGCATCGATGATGTCCCTTAATACTTTATTCTGGAAACGTTGAATAACTTGGATGATACTTTTACTGGCACAGCCCCAAAGCTGGCAAATTGCTTCATGTCCACCAATTCCTTTAAATGCACTAATCTGAAACAAAATACAGGCAATTAAAAGGGATTTATACAAATTATCTGATTAACAATAGTTTTATTAATAGTGTTTTAAATTAACTATAATAAAACAATACTCGTGTCTAAACAAAACATGAAGATCCACCTAAGCAAGCATTATTTATGTAGTTCTGACCTTAATTTTTAAAGAGATATTCTGCTTCCCATATAACAAGTTCACAACGCATGAATATCAAAAACCGACAACTCAAATCTATAATTATTTAGAATGTAGGCTTTTTTCAAGCTGGTGGCTGGACAGGGACATATGATGAAATACAATTACATATCCCATCTTCTTCTTACAAATCAAAAATTCTTTATTAATTGTTGGCTTTTTACAACATAACCCGTATAGTAACCTTTTGTGTAACATATACCATATTTCAGAAACATCTTCAGTGAAATATTTAACTAAAATATTTATGAAATATTTCAGAAACTTTTGCTTGAAATGTTATATGTTTGGCACGTTTGAAATATTTCTGAAACACTTCTGAAATAATGTGTGCTGTATGGGATATACCACTTAACTATTATATCAAGTACTGATACTCTTGCAATAATTATTTAATTTATACAAAAGTAACATCATCTAACCCCACTAACTTTCATCTAATTATCTTTGTTTGTAAAGATGACTCATAGCACATCCCGAATACAATCAATTTAAAATGTACTAGTAAAAATAATTAAGATTAAGAACATGTAGAAAATTGTTGATTTAACGTAATAATATATTTATAAATAACTTTACAACTACAAGGAACCTGTATTTAATAATTAAGTAGGTACCGTCCCATTTATAAAAGTTATGCTTCGTATTTAAATAATATATAAACAGTTTCTTATAATATTGCTGTAATCTAAACCGTATGATCGAAATGGAACGTCATGTTGAAAATTTCATAACAAATTTTATATCAATTAAATTTTACTTCTTCATTTTTTAAATTAAAGTTTTTTTGCCCAAAAAATGCCAATTTATATGGCTTTAATCCCTGTAGGACTTTATAATTGCCTACTCTATTGTAAAAATAAGTAAATTTTTCTGAGTGTAATACCTATTATTTGTAATAAATTGAATTGAACTGAAGTCTACATGCCCAATCTGTTGACTTGAGGTATTAATAATGAACTCTCAAAAACCACCGAGACTATAAAGATTTTTTAAACATTTCTACATATATATCCATAGGTACCAATTTTATTTTTGTAGAAAATATTTCTTTAGTTAAATGAAATAAGATTTTGGAAGTACTTGAAACTAGGTACCCACCTATGAAAAAATTCAAAAAAAATTCAAAAAATATTAAATTTTCGAAATTACGTTTTTTAAAATGTACCTCTGCATTAAAAAATATACAGTTCTAGTGACCCCATTTAACAAAAAGGTTCTATATATATTCCAGATAAAGTGAAGGACCCAAAAAAGACCGACACAAGCACCGGAGGAATATATCTTCGCCAGGGGCCACCTGATGATTTGCGAGCCGAAGAATTCTTCAGTCTCGATGATGAGCCCCTCCCTCTCACCAATAAGCATCGACCCGCTAGAAGATGGCCAAGATGCACCGGGAGTGGGGTTAAATGCTATCGTGACTCCAGTTGGCTCCTTAGTCACCGCAAGTGCAAATACACTAAGATGAAAAGATGGCACAAGTACTAATAGCAAAGTTCGTGAATAACGTTAAATCCGCATCTCCGAAAATCGGAATAAACTAGTTAATTTTCGAAAAATTATGACATAAACTATGATTATTTTGTATTAAAATCGTTGGGAAATCCTAAATGGGAATATTTAAAATCGTATTTCAAGAGATCAAGGCATAAAAAAACAGTAGACAACAGTGATTCGTGCCGCAAAGTTGATAACATGAAGATTTTAAGTTTTTTAAACAAATTTAACCGATTTTATTGGAGAAAAATATTGGACTATTCGAGTGCGTTTTGAATTAATTTCAAAAAAACTTTTGTTCGAAAAGGAAATCGCGAAAATGAGATTGTGCGCGTTGATTCTCTTTGTCGGCACCGTCTCCGTGGTGGAATCCTGCGGTCCGGGTCGTGGTGTAGGCCGACGGAGAGGTTCCCGAAAACTCACCCCTTTAGTTTTTAAACAACATGTTCCTAATGTACCGGAAAATACTTTGACCGCCAGTGGGGTTGCGGAGGGAAGGATCGATAGAAACGATACTAGGTTTAATGACTTGGTTCCCAATTATAATGACGACATCAATTTTAAGGACGAAGAAGGAACTGGTGCCGACAGGTTAATGACTCAGGTAAGTAGTAGTACCTACCAAAATTTTTATTTTTTAAATCGGGAGTGGTTTGTGATAATATTACTACAATATTTCTCATAAAATTTATAATAATCATCAAATGCGCTTCCGAAATCTTTAGATAATGAAAAGCGCTGTGACAGTACCGGACAAAAAAAAATATTGTAAATTTAAGGATAAATTATTTAATTTTTGTAAAAGAAAATAACAGTTTTATTGTCCAACAGTTACTTACACCTGCCCTTCCTATTTATATGTCAATTCAAAAAGCACAGTTTGAAGTGAGTTTCTAAGTGAAAACATATTTTTTAAAAAGTTGTTTTCGCGTTCCCTAGAATTAAAAAAAAAATAATTGCTTCAAATTATTTACTAAAATTTGTAAAAATTTGTAATTGATAAAAAAAAAATAATTTTCGAAAAAATTACTTGCGGCTATTAAAATAATATTTCTTTTTAGCTAAAGTTAGATCTTCAATTTTTAAAATTGATGCATTATTTTTTTATTATTTCTTCATATTTTATGACCAAAAATAAGTGGAATTCGTGTTTATTTTTATATACCTACTCATCTTGCGCGGTTTTTAATAAACAAGCGAATATAAAAATAACTTTAACATTTTTAGGATAATGTAATATTTTCTATATATGGAAAACAAAATAAATAGGTATGTTATTAATCTGTCAATTCAGCTAATAAAATATTTTCAAAACTTAAGCAAATACCTAAGATTGTTATTCTGTTTTAAAATTTTACCAAATTATTATCGTACAAGGAAAATCGTTAATACAAATAGTGACTAATCTGAAAATGACCAAATCTTCAGTGGGAAACATTATTGCCTGACGGATCTACTAAAATTACGGATAAAGTACTGGTAGACCAAAAATTATGACACAAAAATATGAAAGAGGTTTGGTAAATACTGCAAGCAACACTGAGGAAGCACTTTAAGAGAAATCACTGCCTTCTTATGGAATGTATCTAACGATTATTTTAATATGTTCAAAAAGTGCGTTGTCAGAAATATACAGTGAGGACGTATAGGTTGGAATATATTCGATATGTTCCTACTTACCATCGATTTTTTCTTTTTTAATAAAACAACATATTTTTCTCTTCTATTTTGAATTCTCCAATAATAGACAATTACAGAAATGTATGTAATACTTCCAAATTCATTGGTTTGAGAATTAGAGACAAATGTAATATCAGAAATGTTGAATCTAAAATTTTATTTCAAGGACTGGACTAATGAATTTTATAATTAGCATTTATTGTAATTTTGATTCCACTAACAATTAGAGTGACAGAATTTTTTAGTGCGTTTTGTTTACCTAAATTAGGAGCCTAGGTGTATTGTTTTTAAACTTTTAATATATTTCTAAATTCACATGAAGTAAATATACAATGTGACAATTTAAAAACTTATTTCACAAACAAAAGATGATATCAAAAAATGCTTAACATCGTTTTTAGGATAGGAAGGGGGAACTAAAATGACTTCCTAGGCCTCACCTATTCCAACTAAAAAAATTTAAATAGCAAACCCCTACTTGTGATACATCATTAAAAAGCCTATAAAAAATGCTATCCAACGGTATAAATAATAATTGTACAGGGTGAATCAATAATTGTGAAACCTTGCCTTAAAAGGAAAATGTAATGAATTTTTTGTTGAACTACAAAGTTAAAAATGTCAATGAAGTAAATGTTCAAAGTGGATTTTGTAAACAATAATACAGCCTATTTTCAAATTCTGCACGAACTTTGACAAATGTTATTCTAGTAATAGCGCGAAATGCTTGTGTAATTCTTTTCCCGCAATTACCCAAGTGACGCAGGTTGAGTTTTATAAACAACTAACTTGAGGTAAACCCATAGAAAAAATCAGGTGGCGTTAAGTATGGTAACCTCGGTGGCCACTCAATAGGGCCTTTGCTTCCAATTAATTTGTTTGAATAATTATTATCCAACCAGTGCCTAACTGCAGCTGCATAGTGAGTAGGTGCTCCATCTTGTTAGAAGTGCAGCAAATCTTCTAGATTGCATTGGTCTTCCTTTTGGTCCTCTAATTCATGCACAATTAAAGGTTCGATGGTGTTTTTTAGCATATCCAGATAAATTTCGCTACTTAAATTCTCTAGTATAAACAAGGGGCCAATTAAAGCATCGCCTAATATCCCTGCCCAAAGATACAGTTTTTCAGGGTATCGAGTGTGAGTTCACATCACTCCAGTAGTACCGACAGTTTTGTTTATTTACATTACCATTCAGCATAAAAGTACCCTCATCGCTGAAACAAATATTACTTTCCTATCTGTATACAGATATAAGGAAAGTATAGGAATCATGATTTTTTTCGACCTCCAGTTTTCGACGGATTTTTACTCATGAACCGATACAAAGAAAAACACCAAATTTTAAACTTAAGCTTTATTCCGACGTCGAATGAACTGATTAGATTTTGGCAGTGTCGAAACATCTGGGGGGTACTTTATAGGTAGTCATTTTTATATTTTATGAATTATATCTGTTATTTACGTTTGGAGAAGAAAATTTTTCAAATAAAAGTTACTTACAATATTATTACTAATATATTTGTTTTATACAAAATTTTCTTAAAATGGTCCGTATTCAAGAAATTTGACAAAATGTAAAAAAAAATTTTCATAGAAATTGTTCAAATAAAAGTTGTTTGTAATATAATTCTCTATAATTTTTATTTTATACATAATTTCTCTAAAATGGACCGTATTCGATATATTTGAGAAAATGTGTAAATTTCGAATTTTGAAGAAAACTCAAAACGGATAAAGGAAAAAATATTAAATTTTAACTTAAGTTTTATTTCGGCCTGTCGTGAAATAATTAGATTTTGGACAAAGTCGGAACATCTGGGGGGGTACTTTATGGGGGGCCGTTTTTATATTTTATGGAATATATCTGTTATTTATGTGTGGAGAAGAAAATTGTTTAAATAAAAGTTACTTCGAATATTATTATCTATAATTTTTGTTTTATGTCAAATTTTTTTGAAATGGTCCGTTATCGAGAAATTTGACCAAATGTGCAAGATTCTGATTTTTAAGAAAATTGTTAAACTAAAAGTTGTTTGCGATATCGATGTCTATAATTTTTGTTTTTCGCATGATTTTTCTAAAATGGACCGTAATGGAAAAATTGGAGGAAAAGTGCTACATTTAAATTTTTCAGTATTTTCGTTTTCAATGAATATTTATAGAGGTGCTGCAATAGGTTGTACAAAATAACCGGAAAAAGCCTATAATAACTAGATAGGAAAGTCATGTGTTGGACACATCAGATTTTTTTTGATAGTCTAGGTTCAACGTGAATTCTTTTAATCATGAGTTCACAAAACTCAATTCATCGGTATGGATCATCATCGCCTAGTTCTTGAAGAATTTGCGTTTTGTACGGGTGAAATTTTTGTAATTTCAACACCTTCCTAATCGACTCACGTGATAGGCCTGTCATTGCAGATACTTGACGTGTTGATGCAGTAGGCTCTATTGCAAATTGTCCAAGGCCTCAATTTGGCTTGCTTCATTCAGTAATCTTGGGGCATCCCTTTTTTTATTTTGTTCTGATTCCGTTTCTCTAAACTTTTCAACGAAATCGCGTATGTACACGTGACTTACATTTTTGTCAGTATGTCTTTCATTAAATATTTGAGTCACATGTTCAGGTATACCGTAAACCAAGGGTGCACAACACACGGCCCGCGGGCCGGATGCGGCCCGCTAGTATCGTTTAGGCGGTCCGTTCTGTATCTGTAACGTGTGGAGGGTGGGTTACCCCCCACGGCACTTAGGCCTCATTAGACCCATTGTGCATCCTCCTAAGATGATAGGCACCTCCTAGCTCGTGAGCCAGACTACATTTTTCAGTAACAAACTTGCATTTAGACTGACGACCTTTTTTTCTTTTAGGACTCGATCAGCAGGATGGGTTACACATTATAAGCTGACGACTTTTTTTTTAGGAAAGCTCGGCAGAATTATAAGGACCTTTTTTTTTGTTTTTTAGAAGCAAAGCAGGAGTTGGTTTATAAATAAAAGATGTCGATCATTTTTTTTTATAAATCTGAATCGACTAGGCATCTCTTGGCGGCACTCGTACAATTACGGTTTTTTAAATCTGAGTTGTGCAGACCTGCCGTAAACCATCGTGACAACTACAGCTGAATGACAGTACTGATCGTACAAGTGGTGAACACTAATGACAATATTATTATAATGTCTCAAATAAACAAAAAATTACTGACTGGGACACAACCCAAAAATCAAATGTTTACAACTTGTTTTGCAAAAACGGCAAATAAAAGTTTGTATTTATCAACAAAAAGTACCTACGGATACTTATCATTTAAAATAAGGTTTTATTGGCATTTAGAGCTTTTAAACATTGTATCACAAGTAGGGTATGTTAGATATTGGTAATTATTAATACCCTTGTACAATTATTATTTATGCCATTGGATAGCATTTTTTATACGCCTTTTAATGATGTATTACAAGTAGGAGTTTGCAATTTAAACTTTTTTAGTTGCGGGTAGGTGGGGCCTAGGGGGTTAATGGGGGTGAGTTCTCTTTCATGTCATTTTAGTTCCCTCTTCTTTTTCTAGAAACGTTTTTAAGCATTTTTTGATATCATCTTTCGTTTGTGAGATATTACCCATTGTAAGTTTTTAAATTGTCACACTATATAATCATTTAATAGCCAATTACATACCTTTAAACTACTTTTTTTATGACCTGAAAAGACTATTTAATAAAAACAGTAAAAACGTATATGCCATTTATGGTATTGTAGGTACACAAAACCAATACATGTCAAAAAAAGGAAACAATAATAAAAACCTACCTTGTTTATCAATCCAGTCATTACAATGAAATTTTAAATTCACAATTTCTGATATAACATTTGTCTCTAATTCACAAACTAATGACTTTTGATTAAATATATTATATACATTTTT